TAGTACAATTACTGGTCAGTGCTTTGATGAGACAAAGAACTAGTGTAGGATGCTTTTAAGTAGGACCGTGCCATACACGATTATGCCTTGCAAATAAGAACTCTCTCTCTCTCTCCTTTATCTTTCATAACAGAACTGTAGAGCCTTTCAGATGCCTCCAGGCTGATGTTGCTTTAGAACTCACTCACTTTCTCATTTTGAAACTATTTTTTGTAACTTGCCCAGATCCTTGCATGCTATTCAGAAGCTTAATATATAGAGATGGCAGGGAAAGCATGGAGTCCTACCAGGCTCTCGTTCTGGCCATTTCTTGTCCCAGACTTTCAACAAAATCTGACCAGGCAAGATTTTGTAAACAAGCTTACATGGCTTTCGGAAATTCAGATGATCAGTACATTGCAAAACAAAAGAAATAGATTATTTTTTTTTTGGTATTTCTTTCCTGCTATATTTACTGTTCCTCTGGATTGCTGTACCCACCATGGTAGTCCAGATGTGAGGCCCCAGCAGGAAATCTAATGAAAGGGCTCCACAGAAGGATTGAGAAGCAAGTGAGGAGTCCCCACTCCTGCTGCTGCTACTCCCAAGTCAGCCGCTGCTTTGGTTGTAGCAGCTCTGCTAACGCCAAAGGCATTGGAAGCCCTTGTAGGAAGTTAGCACCCACATCTCCCCTAGAAAATTGAAATATCCTAGGAAATATTAAAAAGGCAAAATATTTCCCCTAAAAAGAGTAGAAACTCAAGAGCAGAAACTCACCTCAGAAGAAGAAACTCACCCCCACCTTTGTTAATGGGTGGGCCATTAAGGCCTGGGCCAGAATACTTTACATAACAAAGATCTGCAGGTAAAGCTATAGCAATTGCCAAAAGCCCTTTTCAGTGCACCATCATCCAGCAAGGCTCAACCAAGCCTGGAACTCAGGACAGCCTACAGAGTTGCCCCTGCATGGCCCCATGGGAGTCTGACAACCAATCAGAATACAAACTCCAATTCAAATCCCAACAATGGTTATAAAACCCAGGCACTCTCAGCATCTCAGCCCTTCCTTCTCTTTTCCTTCCTTGGAGCATGTGATCATCCTTCCCTGGAGCTTCAAGCTATGTGGTCCTGCTGTCCACCATTAACCATCTTTCCTAACAGCCTCCATGTTTCCATTGTCTTTTTTCCCCACTTGGAACTGAACCCAGAAGGATATTTCTTTCAACACCCTGGCAATTTCCCTGGAATTATTGTTGGGCACTGTCTTCCTCTTCCAGATGTTCTTCTCTTTCCTGTTTGTGAAAGAACAAGGAGAAAGAGAATAGAAATGCCATAGTAGGGCTGCAAAAACCAAGATGACCACCCTTGGGAGAGGTGAGAAGGCTTGGGCCCAGAGGCAAGTTTTCCATGGTAAACAAGGGTGCTTTGAACTATCCTTTCACCAAAGGAACATCTGGCCTGATCCACATCATCCTTCCACCAGGCTGCCCAAACACAAGAGGGTTTGAAGGGTCTGTTGCTATTGGTTTACTTGATCTTGTCTGTTCTGTTTTCCACTCTGTTATGGTATGCTGCAAATCACACAGAATAAACAAGCAATTGTCATCCAGAACAAATATACAGAACTGGTCAACAGCATCCTGATGCATGTAGAATGGGGTGAGGGTATGTATTCCAATGCACTGTTGTAGCCATCCCTCCAGCAGCTAAATCAGATGTGGAGGAGGAGGCATGGGAGTCAGGGTAAGCATCAAGGCAACCTGAGAGTTCTGAGGGGGAAGAGGGGATGGAACTGGCAGAGAGCGGGAGAGACAGAGGCGGATCCTGGGATGCCCATCGGATGGAGAATCAACAGCCCCCAGCTCTGGAGATGGCTGATGAAGAAGAGGAGGAACAGCTGGGTCCAGTGCCTGACACATGGATGCACAGAAGGCAGAGGAGAGGAGAGCAGTGGAAATCTATGAGCCAATCCTTGGGAAGGAAGAGCCACTGCTGCTAGTGAAGGCCCACCCTAGCTCTGGGGATAAAAGGCAGGGGGCGGAGATAAATAGATGTGGCAGACAACTATTCATCTCCCTGCTGGATAGACTTATTAGCCTGTGGTGAAAGATAAGCTTTTTGCCGGTGCACACACCGCACATCTCTGTGCATGTGCATGTGTTGTCCATGTGCCCCCGCCCCCCCAGTACACGCACGCCATATACCCGACAATCAGCTGTCCGGTGGCAGCAGCATGTGTGCATGCGCAGTAGGGCTTTTACGGCTGAGCTCTCGCGTGCCAGGGGAAATGGCTCTGCATGACACTTCTGGCACGTGTGCCATTGGTTCGCCATCATGGGGCTATGTGTTTTTCCTTTTTTTCTGTCTTTCTTGATTTTTGCAGTGTCATAGAGCTCAGGTCCTGAGTACCAATTTTTTATTTATTTTATTTATTTATTTTTGTCAATTGCTTACAAAATAATAGGTATAAGTAAAAACATAGTTATGAATACATGGATACATATAAGAAAAATAAAAAGAAATAAAAAGAAACAATAGGACAGGGACGGTAGGCATGTTGGTGCGCTTATGCACGCCCCCTACAGACCTCTTAGGAAAGGGGTGAGGTCAATAGTAGACAGTCTAAGGTTAAAGTTTTTGGGGTTTGGGGAAGAAACCACAGAGTCAGGTAGAGTATTCCAGACATTGACCGCTCTGTTGCTGAAGTCGTATTTCCTGCAATCAAGTTTTGTGCGGTTTACCTTGAGTTTGTATCTATTGTGTGCTCTTGTATTGTTCTGGTTAAAGCTGAAGTATTCGTTGACAGGTAGGACATTGCAGTGTATGATTTTATATACTATATTTAGATTGGACCGAAGGTGGCGTAGTTCTAGGTTTTCTAGGTCTAGAATTTCAAGTCTGGTGGCATAAGGTATTCTGCAATGAGTGGAAGAGGAGTGGAGAACTCTTCTTGTGAAATATTTCTGGACTTTCTCAACTGTGTTAATATCAGATATGTAATGTGGGTTCCAGACTGATGAGCTGTATTCAAGTATTGGTCTAGCAAATGTTTTGTATGCTTTAGTTATTAGTGTAAAATTACCAGAGAAAAAGCTACGTAAGATTAGGTTAACAACTCTTAACGCCTTTTTGGCTATGTAGTTACAGTGGGCTTTTTCAAAAGGCAGCTGCACTTCCTTTGTTTTTGCTGGAAGACATTTTGCTTCTCACCCAAAAAGCTTCTCCAGTTCTTTGCTTCTCATCCAAGAAGCTTCTCCAGTTGCCTTTTGAAAAAGCACTTTTGGGACAACCATGACCTGGATGACCGAGAATCTCCAGAGACACGGAGCGCCTGAGTCCTCTCATCCTGATGGCACAGGTTGGGTGGGGGGAGGTAGGAAGAGGAATTTGTAAGATTTGCCTGGGGGCCCAGGGAGCTCTGTTTTGCACCCTTGATGCCACTCACCGATTCAACTTCAGTGAGTTGCTTTTTCGTGTTGTTGACGTCATTTATTGGGCTGATCCAACAACAATATGTTATGTCATATAACAATATAATATGTAACAGTATGTATGGGTTTTTCCAAACAAACCTGGGAAAGTTACTCATGATAGATGATATGAGTAGCCAAATTACATCAGTCCAGTAAGTTGCTTCTGTTATGGAATAATTTTGGAATAAACTGAAAACCCTGCCCCAATTGTTTGAGCAGGTCAGAGGGAAGATTCAATCTCAAAATCTAAATAAAATACAATTTGAGGAGTGCGTTCATGGACCATCTATTAATCAAGCTGGAAGGATGTGAAAATAAAACATTTTTGTTTTCATTTAAAAAAACCTAAAACCCTTGTTATTCATCTCCTTACAGAAGATTAGCCAATCTTGCACTAATGTGTAGACCATACTTATTTATTTATAACATATCTCAATGCTGTGATGACCCAGAGTGTATCAAAAATATAACAAAAACCAAAACGTAAATAAAGGTTCTTTAATGCCTTCAACTTGGCTTTACTGTTTAATTGTTCACAGTTGAAGATTAAACTATTTTCAAAATAACATTCCAAACGAAAGAAACACAGTTCAAATTCAAAGAGCAGATAACAAAGCAAAAACCAAAAACAAACCGCACTGAATAAAGTTCCACAACAGACCAGGATAAATAATTGCAAACTTCAGGAAGATAACCAGGTACAGTCTGTTCGAAGAACGCCAACCAAGATAAATCTCATCCAGGAATAAAACACTAATTTGTTTCCAGCGTTTGTTAGCATGCAGGTCCAAACTCTTTTGCAGATCTCACACCTACAACCCATGAAGAGGATCATGGCCCTCTCCTCCTGAAGAGACCACGTTTTTCTCTGATCCTCTCCTCCCTGCACGTCCTAGGATGGATAGGGGATGGGCCTGGGCCCTCCTCTGACTCAGAGTCAGTCTCCACCAGGAGCACGACAAATGCTATCAAAATCAAGAATGCTGATTTAAGCTGACATTAATTCAATACTATTTACATTTAATTAATTACAATTAATTACATTTTATTTATTGATGTACATTTCTATAATAACTACAATTTTATTTGTTCCATAAAAATAATACATTTCATTCTTCCAAAGTCCAAAATTTCTAGTATCCTACTGCTGTACATTTAATATTCCAAAATAGCATTCATAGAATGGACCTATCACTATCTGAACATTATACCGTAATTTGAATATTATGGAATAAAGGAGCCTATACTAAATAGCTATAATTCATTCACTCCATCAGGGCCTATTTTACTTACAATGCTTCTGGTTTCACTTTTAAAAATCATTCTATCCTGTCAGGCTCCCTGTTTCGTCCTACTTTTTAACATTAAAAACCATTAGTTGTAAATAAAATGTAAATGAAATTTGGCAATTATAAAGCAAAGTACTAGTCTGTTATTTTTATTTTTAACAATGCCCGCAGATTCATAAAAGCTCAGCAAATAAAAATGCTGAGTGGTTGGAGGCCACTTGATTGCAAATATGCCTACCTGTGTTAAAGAATAACCACAATGGGAACTGATAGTAAATCTCCTGGAATGGCAGGATAGTGAAAAAAATAAGTAGGCAAAATGTTCCAAAATATTGTAGAATACTCCATTTACTTCCAGACCAGGCCAAATCTTGCCTTTTTCAGATGGTTCTATGATTTCCAGAGTCATTCTGGAGACAATTCCTTGTTGGCACACGTAAAATTTTGCACAACTCAATCTAGAAAAGATGGAAGGAAGCTACCTCACAAGTTTACTTTCTGTTAATTGATCATCTTTGGCTATCCATAGCCATTTGTGAATAGCAAGTTTCCTTCATAATAATTTACAGAATTATTACAGACTTGTGGTGAGGTTTATAATATAGCCTACTCGCTCCCTACTTGTGTTCAGAAACACTTCATGTCTTTCAATGGATTTTAGGCAAAGGACAGACAAAAGCTAAGGATAATTGTAATTTACTTCAAGGTAGAAAAGGAAGAAAGGAAAACAGCATAGTTTGGTCAACTTGGTCTTTATAACAATGGCTTTTGCTGATTCTCTCTCAAGGCTAAGTGACCCAAATCATGATTCAAAATGGTCTACATTTGCATGTAGCAGCCTTTCCTTTCCCTCTCTTTTTAAGAAAGAACTTCTTTGTTTTCCTTTATTTGCTTTATTGCTCTTATTTTAAAGTTTACCCAACATTTTTTTGTGTTATTCTAAATTCAAAATAGCATTAACACTGTTTTGTTGGTTTTGGGAAATCCATGCTATTATAATCCTTTGATGCCTTCTTGAGATAGCTGTGAGGACTGCAAAAATGGAGTTTGAGTTCTTCACTCAACTCGAGGCAGCAAAAACAGTCCATGCATTCTTAATTGTGTTTTACAGTTAAGGGAAACGGGTAGCATATGCATTTGTGTGGTTTTAATATTTATATATTATATAATTCATGTTATATAATTATAATTTTGTGATTATTATTTTTATTACGTCATTTCTGCACCACTTGAATGTTCCTAATACGGCCCACATGGGGATGCTGGGAGTTCTCCATGCTTATGTTAGAACAAACAAACAAACAAAAACCCCACCTTCCAATCTTGGTTTGGGAAAATATGTTCCTGGAACACAACCAGTTTTTCACTTAAGGCTTACTAACACTTTAACGCTTTTCTTCAAATTAAATCCAATTAAATCAGATCAATTTCTGACAGCCAAAGGCCAGCAAAAACACTATCCTTAGCATGGGGACAAAACAGATCTATTTCTGCTGTTTTACTCTAAATATACTTGGACAGCCATCCTCTGGTTCCTGAAAAGAATTCTGTAGATGTTATAATATAGGAACAGGAGACTTTCACCTCATCTCCCAGCTATTGCAGTACCTCTATAATCCTTATTTCTGTAGCTGTGGTGTCAGAGGCTAAAGCAGTGGCCCTCAACCTTTTGGGCACTAGGGACCGGTTCCATGGAGAGAGGTTTTTCCACAGACTGGAGGAACTGTGGTTTCGCAGGCTGCCTGCATCCTGTGGATGTAGTTTTGCTTGTTTGCGCGCGCCCGGTTTTTGGCATGCTACGGACCGGTGTCTGTCCTCGGACCGGGGATAGGGACCCCTGGGATAAAGGAGACAAAAGAACAGGAGTAGGAGATAGGAATCCAAGACTTTCTTGGTTGTAGGAGATGCTACTACATCTATTAATCTGGAGATCTCAGAACTTTTGGGATGGGTCCTGAGGTTGATGGGCATTTAAAATTTAGGACTTGTTGAAAGTGCACTTTCAAAACAGATCCCTGGGGCATCACAGATGAAAAAGGTACATAGCGATTAGGACTTAAACTGTTCCAAACGCTGATTTATTTATACAGGGGCTTCTATCCCATCTTCCACAGGATGGTCCCTACAGCTTCTTCCACCTTTTGTCCTTTTTCTAGGCAGGCAGCCACATACCCAAACAAAATAGTGGATGCAGCCAACCGTTCCTTTAAAATTTATTTTTATAATGAAGTTTAAAGACTAATTTGGGGTGAGAAGTGTTCTTGGCAGTACAGATGCCCTGGAGGCTGTGTCTATGCTTTTCAGCATCTCAGTCATCTTTTCCTTTCTTTTTTAAATTAAAAAATGGTTTTTAATGCAATAAGCTAGTAGGTTTGAGGGATACCAAGGAACAAATTGGTGCCTCCAAGAATTACATTCCCGATGCTAATCAATTCCAGGTCTGGAGCAAATATAGAATTTTTCTCTGGTCTTAATGAGATCCCTCCTCCCTAATTTAAATCAGGAACACAGCAAGTTTTTAAAAATCCAAGGGGAGTAAAAAATCTCCATGCTTTAGTTTTCCAACATGGTAGTCATTATGCCAACTTTTCTTTTTTTAATATTCATTGCAACTTTTACTTTGTATTAACAGAACGAGCAGCAGGAGTGTATCACAGAGAAGGACGGTCTGGGAAATACCAGCTGACTTACGATGAGGCAAAATCGGTGTGTGAATATGAAGGAGGACGGTTAGCAACACTCAAGCAATTGGAGGCTGCAAGAAAAATAGGTACGACGGTGTGGTTGATTTCACTAGAGAGTAAAATCCACCAGAACAAGCACTGCACAGGATAATAAGACTGGAATGCATTTATCAGTCATTTCCATATGTGGGCTGCATAAATATAGTCAGTCACTAGATGGCAGCACCAAAAACTCCAATCCCTTGTGGCCCTCTAGGGATTAGCAAACTTTGTGATGTCTGTCCATCAGGGGCTTTTGATTTTGTTTTGTTAAAGAGCTGCCCATGTTTCAAAAAGTAAGTTATAAGCAGCACAAAGGGCAATATGCTGAGAACTCTGTGTCCTAGGATACACATCCGTTTGGTCTTGAGTTGATCATATGCTGGACAGATGCATTTTAAAATATCCATACAAGCAGTACAACATAGTTCTAGAACTTTCACCAAAGTAAAGTACATTCACATACATGATGTAAACCAATGACCAATATTAACGATATATGGCTTGGGCTGCTTACACTATCAAGTAACATATGCACAGCCACAGCCTCATTTGTTGAACAGAAAATTCAGAATAGGGCAAGTCAAAGATATTTCAGCAACAGGAGAAAAATATAAACAAAGGTATAATTTTTTTTTCAGAATTAAAGTACAGAATGAATTATTTATACATGAGTTTAAATTATTAGAAAATATTCTTGCTTGTCCTGGGACAACTCTAGCTCCCTCAGCTAAAAAAAATGGAGATGAGCAGTGCCCCCTACAGTCGGACACAACTGGAAAGGAAAAAAAAATTACCTTTATAAAGAATAAATGTACATGTTCTGAAACACAATGTGTGTATTCTACAGGGGATGGTGTTGTGTCAGATAAATTTGCATCTGGGTAAAATAGAAATTAACTTATCAAGACTACAGTATGTAATGTTTTATATTAATCAGGCATCTTTCAATAAAGACTCTCAGGACTACAATACAATTTACTCAGCCTATGCCTCCAATACGTTTTAATTATATAAAGTGAAACGGTTCTTTTTGTGCTAAAAAGCAAAGATGACACAACTGAAAAAAAATATGAACCAGACATATACGTTTCTATGTGTCAGGGGTGGAAAGTGCTTTGCTAGCAAAGCCTAATTCATGTTTTAAATAACTAGGACTCTATTGTATGGTGGTAGTTTAGAGCACAAGAAGTTGTGAACCTGAAGTTGAGCATCCCATCTTAGCCAACACTTGTCTTTTATGACACTTGCCTTTCATCTCTCAGGCTTCCATATGTGTGCTGCTGGCTGGTTATCTAAGGGAAGAGTCGGATATCCTATTGTCAAACCAGGAAGCAACTGTGGCTTTGGGAAAACCGGGATCGTAGATTATGGGTTTCGGCTCAACAAAAGTGAGAAGTGGGACGCCTATTGCTATAATCCTAATGGTACGTGAACATGAAATATATTTCTTACAGCTGTTTAGACTTAAGGATACACCTTTGCAAAAGTACCTGCCTTTAACTGCTGTGGCCCCTTAAAAAATAATGTACGCTTAAAGCTAGCAAAAACTTGTATAGGCTAAAACCCATTTCATCAGATGCCTTAACATCTTTTGATTTAGGATTCATGGTTGAGAAAATTATCCTGGCAATTTGAAATGATAACATTACAAGGAAACAAATGTAGAAGGTACAGCCAGTGATAATAATTTCATTAGCAGTGACTGCTTACAAGATGGACAGTAAGACAGAAATCCTCATATTGGAAGGGTAATCAACGTATAATGAATACTAGAGTTTGAAGAGAGTTTAAAAAATTATCTGATCTATCCCCTTGCTCCATGATTCTTGGATTCACTAGAGCAGGGGTCTCCAACCTTGCTGGCTGAGGAATTCTGGGAGTTGAAGTCCACAAGTCTTAAAGATGCCATGGTTGCAGACTCCTGCACTAGACCATGTAAAAAAAGGAATGCTACACCGCGATGTTTTGGGCTAGTAGTCACCAACACCCACAACTATTCTCAAAAGCACACCTTACTCTCACACAATTTTCAGAGGCAACCTGAGAATGGGCTATGTTTTTGTGCAGCTCTTGCGCAGCCTCCAGAATAGAGCTGTCAAACTCGCAGCCTGTGGTTCAGATACATCACGTGCTGCCCACACCCACCCCCTGGTTTAACAAAGAGAGGGGGGAAGTCACGATACGTCACGTGATGCCACCGTGACGCCGCCAGTTTGATACCCCTGCTCTAGAACCTCCCAAAATCGCATAAGAATGGGGTGTGCTTTCATACAGTTTTCGGAGGCTGCAGAAGACCATTCTCCAAAGACCCTCCGAGAATGAAGGCCTCCTTTTGGCCCAGAGCTGCCTCAGGCAGACCTCGGGGGGCTGTCAACCAAAAGAGAACACTGCCTGAAGATAAGCAGTGCACGGCAGATTCTGGGGATCACGCGCATGATTAAATTGTATTTTTTTTTCAATTACTTCTCTTTTGTTTGGGGTGGGGAGGTGACATGCCAGCAGAGTCAAGTTAGGCATTTTCTGAAATTTTGACACGCCAACCCAAAAGGTTTGCCCTCCCTGCACTGCAGCATTTCTAAGAGATATCCTGCCTGTTTGAAGGACATCATTTTATGGGGCTCAGCCTGTTTCATATGCCATATGGAGCATGAGAAAAAGAACTTGTCCTATGCCAGCTGAAGAAGATTGAGCAGAGCCTCTTGCTGAACAAGTAAGGTAGTACTGAATGGCCAAATTAAAACTTACGATGAAGTGCCCTAGAAAAATGAATGTTCTTCCAAAATGATGGGGAAATATGTACTGTCACAATGTATCACATGGTAAGAGATTTAACACCCTACAGGAGAGATGGAAAAGACAACAACCAGGCAATCGACATCATTCTGAGCAGCCGCTCCATACTGTGCCTAATTGTACCGTGCTTGTATGCCAACACAAAGAGACTTGCCAAAAGCCACATGCAGAAAGCAGGATTTAAAGTTCAAATTAAATTAAATTAAATTCCTTATTCCAATAGCATCTGCATCTTCAACCAACTCCCTTTTGTTTCTGTCCTATGTTCAGGGCAGATTTCATTTACAATGACAAATATAAGTTCAAATCTTTGTGAGCATTCCTTGGCTTGCCAGAGTCTTTCTGGAGAAGGAACTGTAAGGAAAACAGCTGCAAGTGAAGACAGGGCTAGTCCTCAGGATGGGTTCCAGTGTCCAACCATGTCAAAGCACATAGCGTTGTTTCTGCCAAGTCCACTTTCTGCTGGCAGCAGAACCCGTTCTTAAGCTTATTGCTGTGCCCCAGTGGTTGCTGTTTGGGAAAGTCCTACCCATTCCATCTGGCTAGCCTACCAAGTGGGCCGGAGGGCCTCTCTGCTTGTCAGTGTTAATTGCTTGTGACATTCAGCCCTGACTTGAGTTGCCAGAAGTTTGAGGTTACTTTAGGATACTTGCGGAGGTGCAATTCATAAGCAGGAAATACTCAGGGGAGAGACTTTTATCATTCTGTGAAATGTTCTTAAAACTATTAAGTTCAAAAGAGGTTAATTCAACATGTCACACCAAACCGTGCTTTGGTTCCTCCATGGTTGGTGAACAAAACTTAATAGCCCACTTCACGCTTAACATTACGCCACAAATAACTGTTGAGTCTGTACATTAAAGACAAAACTAAAGAAACAACTCGTATTATGGCTCAGCATAATTTCTAAACCCATTACGGGAAGAAACAGTTGAAAATGGGAATTAAGTCTCAGCAGTTAAAGACGCTGAAGTTTAAAAGGTAAAGAGAGCAGAGAGCAGTTCAAAAGCATGTAAATACAAGTAGATTAATAGGTATCTCTTTGGTGGGAAGGTGTATATCCGTGCACCTTTGATGTATAGCCATAGCCATGCTGGCTAGATACCATGGAAATTGTCTTTGGAAATCACTGGTTCCCTTGGCCAAGTACCATGAGTACCATGCCTTGAAGTCAGACATGACTGACAAGAACACCTTTACCTTTTAAACTGGATAATATAGAGAATATGCTTCTATTTTAGTAGCAAGGATCTTCAATTTTGGGAGATCTTTCATTATTACTTCTGCAATACTTTGGATTCAATTTTGAAAGTTACTTCAGAAAATAACTCTTAAAAGAGAAAGGTGCCATGTTGTACCCTCCAAAGCTTAGAAGCAAATGTGAAGTACCTCGTTGCTGTTTAATTAGGGAGCCCAGCGGCTTGTGTGGCTAGGACACTAGTCTGATGATCTGCCGGCTTGCATTTGACATCCATTGCTGCCATGTGGCAGGGTGAGTTTCCATCACTCACTCTAGCTCCTGTCAACCCAGCAGTTCAAAAGCAGATAACCACGAGTAGTTAAATGGGTACTACTTCAGTGGACAACTTAATGGGGACACGAAAGGAGCCAACTGGGCCTCCTCTGGGCAATGGTGATTACTTTGTCACAGAAACACTTCACTGCTTCCAACATGGAAGAATAATATAGCCCTGTTTAATTAATATATAGATTCACCCATAATATGTTAGATACCATAATAGTCTAATATTAAAAACTACACTATATTCAATATTGGGAGTGCTTGATTTATGTTCTTTACTCCCATTTCTTTCTTTCTTTCTTTCTTTCTTTCTTTCTTTCTTTCTTTCTTTCTTT